AAGTCCAGCAGTAACAGTAAAAATGTAATAAATAGTCCCACAAACTAACATACCAAATATATTTTGAACATAAACATTTTGAAATTCGTAAGTAATCTGCCCAAAACACAAATTTATGACAATCTAAGATATAATTTACTAGCATAGTAAAACATGGTAGGTAGACCATAAGAATGGTGCAAAAATAAATTTAGTAACCAGCTGACCCAGATTGTTGATACATGTCCATATCATCTTCAAAGTCATTGTTTTCTGAGAAGTATTTTTCATAATGTTTCATTCTGACAACCAGGCCTTTCACCTCTTTGTTGCACTGTTTACATTTGGCATATTTGTTTTTTACCCAGAGGTACAGGAATTTCTTCAAAAATATTCCCAAATAGGGTCTTTTTTTCTTTTCTTTTTTTTTTTTATGATGTGCAGCCATGGAAGTTTTTTCTCCAGTTCCCAGGTCTTGAAATCAACAGTAGAGGCTGCAACCTGAAGAATGTTGTTCTTTCTTCTCACAGTGTTGTTGCTTTGACAACAGAGTTGCTTCTTTCTGGTTGCACTCTGCGCCTCTGCCCTTAGAGGATCAAGCCTTTAATACAGTAGATGGCCTATTGTGCCATAATTTACAAAGCTTGACTTCAAAAGTCAGATGTTCCCCCCCCCCGCCCCCGCCCGATTCTTTTTTTATATAGAAAAGCAGCCTTTGACTCAAAGTTTTTGATAGAGGCTTATGGATTCAGCATATTTATTTTTTTATTTACATGTTTTAAGATATTATAATAAGTTTAGGTCTTAACATATCTTGTATTAAATTCAGATCTCATTGTAAACAATATTTTTTTAAAAAATATAATTTAAATTAAAATCTGATTTTTTTTTATTTAAAAAAAAACTCATTTTTTATCCACCCTGCTTGTGGTTTATGAAGAAGAACCTACTGAAGTCTCCTTTGAGCAGAAATTTGGCCTTGACATACATTTGTAAGGTGGGGTATGTGAGAAATGGTGATTAAGTTCTGAGGAGACAAGGAAAGCTCCTGGGGAAAGGCAGAATGAATAAATGTATAGGTAAATATTGCAGTCCTTGTGATTAAATCTATTGTTTCATAGGATATCAGCTTTAGCGAGGACAAACTTGTGAGAGCCTCTTTGACCTGCTTGCTTTTGTGAAGGTGAATATTTCTGGGGAAACTTAAATGCCAGATATGCAGTGATTTAAGATCTAACTTATTCCCATATATTGATCTAGAGTTTCTGTATACTAAGTGGTATTCTATACACTTTGAGTTTATTTTGAATGTGTTCTCACTTTCATTTTAAACCATTTTGTCCAAGTGGTTTTGGGTGTTTGTGTTGTTTCAAGCAGCCTATTGTCAAAAGCAGAGAGAACACACAAAATATCAAGGGTCTGTTTAGTCCTATCAGCATACAGAATCAGTCTTTAAGCTAACTAAGTTAATGGTGGTGATACAGATTTCTGATTTTTTTCTTTGGCAGGGTTGTCTGTTAAGGGACAAATTAAAGACCATTGTCTCTGTGACGGTATCTCCCCAGGGTGCAGCCTGGGAGTGTGGGACCGCTATGCCCCCTTAACTCTCTCCAGCCTGGACTGTCTCTCACAATGCCTTGCTAGTGACCAGCAGCAAACCCCTCCAGGTGCTGTTATCACTCAGCACAACCGCATGTGGAGCCCCAGACCCAACTAGATTGCATGAATGCTCCCAGAGCCACTCATGAATCACACAGAGAAAGGCACCAGAACCAAATCCCTCCAGCTCCCAGCACTGTACCTCAGGAACATATAGTCATGCACTGCTCAAGATGGGCAGTGCAGATTTATTAATTTATTAATTCAGCAATGGAAAGTGGTTATACACCAGCCTGAGATTTGCCACACACTTCATACAAACTCACTGGTAAAGACAAACAGTTAAATGAATTTGACTATAAAAAAGATAGATTTTAAGTGATATTAAGTGATAGGCAAAAAGTTAGAGTTAGTTACTAAAATAAAATAAAATATAAGCACGAGTCTAAACTCTCAACCCTATTAGACTGGGCAACATCTAGATTAAGCAGTTTCTCACCCCACTGGATATTGCAGTCCTTAATATACAGGTTTGTTCCTTAAACCTGGGCCAATCTCCTCTGTTGGAGTCTTGTATTCTTCTCAATGTTTTAGGGTATGTCTTCACTACCAATGTTAAAGCGCTGCTGCGGAGTTGCGGCACCAGCGCTGGGAGAAAAAACAAACAAACACCCTCAGAAAGGGAGTAGCTACCCGCACTGGTGCACTCTCTACACTGCCACTTTACAGCGCTGAAACTTGCATCACTCGGAGGGTTTTTTTCCACAGCCCTGAGCGAGAAAGTTTCAGCGCTGAAAAGTGGCAGTGTAGAAAAGGCCTTAGGGCATGTCTACACTCGCCATTTAAAGCGGAAAAAGTCCCTTTTTTGTGCAAAAACCATGGGAGCGTCTACACTTGCTAATGACTTTTTGTAGTGAAACTCAGATGTTTCACCGCAAAAAGAAAACCACCTCCAGGAGAGACGTACAGCCCTTTCCGGTGATGCTTTTGCAGTGATGTGCAAGTGAAGACATGTTCTTCCTGTTTACACAGCTTTTAGCTTCCGGAGGATATCCCACAGTGCCTAGGTGACCACTGTGGCCAGCCGCTCTGCTGCCAGGTAAACAGACATCCACCCTTCCCCCTGTAAAGCCCCTGGAACTTTGAAACTCCCCTTCCTGTTTTCTTGGCAAGTGTTCACTTATTTGGCCCGGTGACAATGCCTGCTCTATGGAGCAAATGATCCCCTGCTTGGAGCAATGCTGAGCTACTGGAGCTTATCAGTGTTTGCGACACACACACTCACTCTCTCTCTCTCTCTCTGTACTATGGGATAGCTGCCCTACAGCGCTGCTCTCATCAGCAATGGAAGTGCTGTTAATGTAAACACACTCTGATGCCTGAGGAATTAAGTGAGTACACAAACCAGCGCTTTACTTTCACCGGTTCCCTATCAACAGTGAAACTTACAGTGCAAAAACTCTGCAAGTGTAGACATACCCTTAGTTGCTTGCAGCGTAGGTGGGGGCAGGAGAAAAGGCCACGCCTGGGCCCCCTGTGTTCAGTTTTATACCCTCATTCCATGTACTTGTAGAACACAAGTCCAGGCATGCCTGGGGGGCATTGCTGAGTCTTCAGGCAAAGTTAAGCAGTCCCCTTGGTGTGGCCTCATGCAGGTGAGTCATTGAGTTGTAGCTCCCCTGCTGGACAATGGCTGTTGATGGGTTGTTTCACACCCCGCCCAGGTGTTGGTTACTTTCCTTGCTCTTGCCTTTTGGGAGCTAATATCTGGCTGATTCCCCAATTTACAGCATGTTTTAGTGACAACTATACAACACAATTCTCATAACATCACATGCATTTACTGATCTACATATATGGATAGAGAAATGACTTTCAGCAGATCTTAACCTTTCCCCTGATACCTTACAAGGCATGCTTTATATGTAATATCACAATTATATACTTATGAGGAATATGGGGGGGGTTACAGGGTGCTCCCCCAAGGTACAGAATGTCACACTCTCTTGGCAAGATTTAAATTGTTTCTGCCTCTTGAGCGTTGAAAGGTGGCCACTCAAAGCTCATTACATTATATTTTTGTAAAAGTGCTACATATTGTATGTAACTGCAAATCAAGAGAAGCTACTCAGTCTTTAGAAGTTGGCTAACCACCGTTCCCTTTTTCCCTGTGTTTCTGTTGTATGGTATGTCTAGGTGTTAGTCCTTGTTGTAATGCTCATTAATATTTTAAGTTACAAAACAAAAATCATGTAATTGAAATACTTATTTACTTGGTAACTGTCAAATCAGCAATAGTTAGGGCCAGAACCTGAGGCGTGTGTGTAAGTCCCATTGACTTGAATAGGAAATGAGCAGGCAAATTATACCTTGTGTTCCTGGCCAGATAAGTACTTTGTAATTGCATAGATAACATACTGGATTGTTTACTGGATGTCTTTGAAATAACCATGCAGGTCACATGACTTTCATGCCTTATGTAGTAATAAGTATTCTAGTTATAGGTTGTTTAAAAAAAGTTATAAAATAAGTAGAGTGTTGTATATCTACAATATTTGAACTGTAATATCTTGTTTTTTAAGAAATAGTTAAATTGCTGAAAATTATATACAGATAGTATTTTAGTTGAGTTGAATGGCTTTAGTAAAGAGATGCTCTAATCTGCTATCTATAGGAAGGTTGGTCGATTTTTACCTGCAGTATTTTGGTATTTATGTACATTGTGCAATGGCCATACATCTAAGTTTGAGGTGTCTAGGAAGTTTTGTTTTCATGGAGGGATATTTTGACTTTTAAATTAAACATTCAATAACAAAACTAATATGTAAGCAGTATAGTGTGTCAACTTTTTCCAGGGCCACCTAATTGCAGCCCTGTTGATCTCATCTCCAGTTTCTATTTTTTTTAAAAAGAGATATCTAATGACCTGGAGCTTATGTTTTCTTAATAAGTGAAAGATAATATGTAAGTGACATGGGAAGGTGTGGATGTCTTAACATAGGGAGTAAGGAGAATTTGTAGGCTTGAAGCATGAGATCCACTCATGAACATGACATACAATACCTGTAAAATGCAAGCTTTTGCCTTGATCTAACATAGTCTGGCACTAACCCTTGGGATTGACATCGTGTATCTGAGCCCCTTTCAGAGTTTGTGAAACTCATTGATTTCAGTGGAGTTTCACGGGATGTAAATCTGGGTAGAAATTGGGCCTCATGAAAAATGACTATTACACTGAGATTTTTATGCTGAAAATCTACATGGTCTGATACACAGAAATAATCATAATAAATATCTAGACTTGAGTAAACTATTATTAGTCTTACTCACAGTTTTTCAAAAATATCCTGTTGCTACCTCTTGGAGCTTTAATTTGTGTCAATCAGGGTGTTGGGATCACTCACTTGTTGTTGTTTCTTCAGATGTCGAGTATGTGACTTCGCCACAACAAATATGAATAGTTTGAAATGTCATATGAGGCGCCACCCACAGGAGCACCAGGCAGTGCAGCTAATGGAACAGTACAAGTATGTAACAGTTATGAGTTGGCAAAAGCCATAGTAGTGTGATTTTGTTACCTTATGAAACAAAGTGGAGTTCAGATTCATTGCTTTCTCTGTAATCTAAATAAAAAATAGCTTGGGTAGGTAGTCATGAATTATTTTTTCTCCCTGTCTTATTCTCTATTGCCAGTTGATTAACACTCGTACAAAAGCAAAAAGTTTTGGAGCTAATTTGGTATTCTTAGTGTCTCCATGTGAGACGAAACGTGGAGTTGCATCATGTTATCCTAGAAAAGAACATGAGTTTCACTAGTCTCTTATGTTTGTGTATATTTGATAAATAAATGCCATTTAGTAGTCTGTTCCCACATGCTACATACTGAGGAAAAGTTATTATAAACGAAATTCTAATACTTCAGCATGACTACCCAGTGCTAACTTGCAACAAGGAGTTGAAAACCTAAGACTAAAGCAAAAATGCAAATAAACTAAATAACTCATACTGCAAGATTGGGCAGGCAACCAGGGCCATTGGGATAAATCACATGCATACAAAAGTTGTGGTCTCAAGAAAAAAATCCAAATTCTTCACAACTACAAAATGTAAACTAAACCTCCCCACTATGCTCCTTTCCAAAGTGCTTTCTAGTAGCACTAGATACCATGCACTCTGCAGCTATACTCTGTAGGAAAGCATTCTGCAGTCACCTAATATTACTGAAAACTTCCACACTTCTGGCCTCTCAGTGTCCCTGATGATCCACTTTGTCAAAGGCTGTGAGAAAATTTCCACAGTATGTCAATTTAGGACATTCTTGAACAGTGAGATTTAATCATTCAGCACAGGTTAAGCCAGTAGGGCGAATTAAACTGAATTCTGTATAGGGTTGCCAACCCTCCAGGATTGGCCTGGAGTCTCCAGGAACTAAAGATTAATCTTTAATTAAAGATTGTCATGTGATGAAGTCTCCAGGAATACATCCTTGCAACAAAGCCTGATGCCAACTCTGTCCACATATCTATTCAAGTGACATCATCACAGGACCTAATCACATCAGCCATGCCATCAGGGGCTCGTTCACCTGCACATCTACCAATGTGATATATGCCATCATGTGCCAGTAATGCCGCTCTGCCATGTACATTGGCCAAACCGGACAGTCTCTATGCAAAAGAATAAATGGACACAAATCTGACATCAGGAATCATAACATTCAAAAACCAGTAGAACACTTCAACCTCTCTGATCACTCAGTAACAGACTTAAAGGTGGCAATCTTGCAACAGAAAAGCTTCAAAAACAGACTCCAACGAGAAACTGCTGAACTTGAATTAATATGCAAACTAGATACCATCAATTTAGGCTTGAATAGAGACCAGGAATGGCTGAGCCATTACACACATTGAATCTATTTCCCTATGTTAAGTATCCTCACACCTTCTTGTCAAAGTGTCTGAATTGGATCATCTTGATATCAATACCAAGTTTTTTTTTCTCCTGCTGATAATTGCTCATCTTAATTAATTAGCCTCTTAGAGTTGGTAGGGCAACTCCCACCTTTTCATGTTCTCTGTATGTGTATATATATCTCCTTACTATATGTTCCATTCTATGCATCCGATGAAGTGGGCTGTAGCCCACGAAAGCTTATGCTCAAATAAATTTGTTAGTCTCTAAGGTGCCACAAGTACTCCTGTTCTTTTTGCGGATACAGACTAACACAGCTGCTACTCTGAAATCTGTATGATGATTTGTTATAGCAATAAGGGAGCTGATCTCCACGTACTAGACACCACTGCAGAATGACCTAGGTTCCAGCAGCTATATCTTATATAGAACCACAAGATGAATGCACACTGCAAAAATTAAGTGCTCTTCCTCAATCTTCATTGTCTTTTGCTAAAAGTGTAATGTAAAAATACATTCTGTAAAACATTGGCCAGGAACAGCAAACTCATTTTACTTCTATTTCTTTCCTCCCATTATACTTTGTATATTTCCTATAGGATCATGTTGTGCAATACGCTCATATATTGACCCATGGATGATGAGTAGTATAGTGAGTGATCCTGGAAGTTGCTGAGCACCTTCAGCTTTGATTTGAAATTAATGATAGCTGAAGGTACTTAGCACCTAGTAGCATTAACCCATAGTGTTCTATAATCCTGAAAGCAAAAATGTGATGCTTAGGCCTTGGCTACACTTGCAGATGTACAGCGCTGTGAGTTAAACCTGACTTCGTGCAGCTGAGTAGGGAAAGCGCTGCAGTCTGTCCACACTGACAGCTGCCCAGCGCACTGTCGTGGCCACATTTGCGGCAATTGCAGCGCTATTGGGAGAGGTGAATTATGGGCAGCTATCCCATAGAGCACCTTTTCCCATTTTGGCGCCGTGGGTTGTGGGAAGGGGGCGTGGGTCGGGGGATTCTGGGTCCTGTCCCAATGCCCCATGATGCATCGCTTCGCATCCCAGAAATCCCTTTGTTTCCATCCACCTTTGGCACCATCTTTCAACGGTTTCTGTGCAGTGGAATCTGTCTGCGGGAAATGGAGTCCGAACTGCTGAGGCGTATGCTGACGAGTCTCGCCAGCACGTCACGTTTAGCTGTCGAACTATTCCTTAAGATCCAAAGTGACAGTGAGAGTGAAAGTGAGGAGTCCAACGATGCTATTGAGCCGCGTAACGCGTACGACACAAAATTGCTTGTGGCATTCACGGACATGCTCAGCACCGTGGAACGCCGCTTTTGGGCTCGGGAAACAAGCACCGAGTGGTGGGATCACATCGTCATGGAAGTCTGGGATGACGAGCAGTGGCTGCAGAACTTTCGGATGAGAAAAGCCACTTCCATGGGACTGTGTGAGGAGCTCGCCCCCACCCTGCAGCACAAGGACACGAGATTGAGAGCTGCCCTGCCAGTGGAGAAGCGGGTGGCTATTGCAATCTGGAAGCTGGCAACTCCAGACAGCTACCGGTCGGTCGCAAACCAGTTTGGAGTGGGAAAGTCGACCATTGGAATCGTGTTGATGCAAGTTTGCAAGGCCATTAATCGCATCCTACTCAGAAAAACCGTGACTCTGGGTAACATGCAGGAAATAGTGGATGGCTTTGCACAAATGGGGTTCCCTAACTGTGGAGGGGCAATAGATGGGACGCACATTCCTATTCTGGCACCACCCCACCTAGGATCCGAGTACGTTAATCGGAAGTGGTATTTCTCTATGGTTCTCCAGGCACTTGTGGATCACCGTGGGTGTTTCATTGACATTAACACAGGCTGGCCCAGAAAGGTGCATGCATCTTTCGGAACACTTGGCTGTTCAGGAAGATGCAGGCTGGCACTTTTTTCCCAGAGCGGAAGATCACGGTAGGGGAAGTTGAAATGCTCACTGTGATCCTTGGAGATCCCGCTTACCCGTTAATGCCGTGGCTCATGAAACCCTACACAGGGAGCCTTGACAGCAGCAAGGAACAGTTCAACTACAGGCTGAGCCGGTGCCGAATGACTGTGGAGTGTGCCTTTGACCGTTTAAAGGGCCGCTGGCGATCTCTGTATGGGAAGCTGGACTTGGCCGAAAACAGCATCCCCGCAGTTATAGCCGCATGCTGTGCCCTCCATAATATTTGTGAAGGGAAGGGTGAAAGCTTCACTCAGGCATGGACCTCCGAGGTTCAACACCTGGAGGCTGAATTTGCACAGCCGAGAGTAGGGCTGTTACAGGGGCCCAGCGCGGGGCTGCAAGGATTAGAGATGCCTTGAGGGAGCAATTTGAGGCTGAAAACCAGCAGTGATATCTGGTGCCCTGCACGGGAGTGAAGTGCAGTAGTTCCAATCTTTAGGAATCAGTGTTTGCTAAGCAGACAAGCAGACTTGCAGTGCCTGTTTATTTCCTGGGCTAAGGAGTCTTTTACTTTATGCAATAATAAAGAATGTTTTCAAATCCAAAGAATCCATTTATTGAAAAGAAACAAGGGGGTGGAGTGGGGAACAGTACAATCACAGATTCGCGTATGTCCTGTCTAGTGTGCTGTGCAGTGAGTGCTGCACTTCAGGACAGCTATACTGCATGGTAATGGGGGTTGAGTGCAGAGGGTAAGGGTCGTGGTTTTCAGGGCTGGGTGGTGAAGATACTGGTGTTGGAGGCAGCGGGTGGCGTGAAGAACATGGAAGTTGGGGAAAGTGGGTTGGAGGTGACAGTGGGGCACAACGGAAAGAGTTTTGGGACAAGGGCTGTGGGGGGGGTGGCGTTTGCGGCACTGCTCCTCCTTCTGCATGGCTACCAGCTCCTGGATAGCATCTGCTTAGCGCTCCAGGATGCTTATGAGCCTATCAGTGCTTTGCTGCCGGTGCGCGGTGCTTTGCCGCCGGTGCGCTGCGTTTTCCTGGCGGATCCTGCTTTCTCTCTCCCTCCAGTCCTGTGCTTTCTCATTCTCTTTAATAGATTGCCGCATCATTTCTTGCAGCATGTCTTCTTTGCTTTTTCGCGGTCTCTTCCTGAGGCTTTGCAGTCTTTGAGCAGGCGATAAGAGGGACGGCTGAGGTCTCAAGGTTGATGCAGCTGTATAGGCAAAATGCAACATTTAACATAGGCAGCATTGTTTATACCAGACAGAGTAATGATTCCCCCCGCACTTACGGAGTAGAAAACACACAGGGTCTACACAATAGCATAATTTTCCCGTCCAAAACAGAGCACACATATCCCACGGGAGCCTCAAAATGGTGAGTAAGGGGGACTGATTGTTTCAGGGCTGCACTGTCCTCTGGGTTTCTGTGCCTTGGGGAGAGCCAACAGCTTCAGGGGGCACCTACACTGAACACTGTCCCAACATTTTCCACAGGAGTTCGTCCTGGACGATATCTCGCTGCTGAGGGTGACCTGGGAAGCAAGGGAGGGTCTTCTACTACAATGCGGCTTCCGCCCTGGCCCATATGCAGCTTGCCTGTGTGCAGTAATGGTCCCCCCGCCCCTCGCGGCACAGTGGCGCGGACACGTTAGCCTGGCTGGGACAAGGACCACGGTGGCTCTCCCGATAAACCTGCGCAAGTGCATTGCACACGTTCCGGATGAGACATTCGAGGAGATTACCGAGGCCGATTACCGCGATGTGATAAACCACATCAATGCATTATTCCGCATCTAGGCATGCATGCCTAACCCTCCTCTCCCAAAGAGCCCACACCGAAAAAATTCCTTCCCGAAAAAAAAACCCGCTTACCAGGAACCTGCTCTTCTGTTTGTCCTCCACAACGTACCGGCCGCTGCGACTGGCTACCTTCCTCCTGGCTCGAGAAGAGCTCCTGGCTGCATGGCTCCAGGGATTCCGGGGTGTCTCCATCTGGCCCACCACCATCACTCCCGTTTTCCTCCTCTTCCTCCTTCCCCCCCCCCCATCAGCTCTGAAGTGTCCATGGTGGTGCTCGGAGTGGAGGTGGGGTTAACCCCAAGTATCGCATCCAGCTCTTTGTAGAATCGACAGGTCGCAGGGGGAGCACCCAAGCGGCCATTTGTGTCGCGGGCTTTGCGGTAGGCACTCTGCAGCTCCTTCACTTTAATCCTGCACTGCAGGGCGTCCCGGTCATGGCCCCTTTCCATCATGTCCTTTGATACCTTCGGGAAGGTATCGTAATTCCTACGGCTGGAGCACAGCTGGGACTGTACAGCTTCCTCCCTCCAAACACTGATTAGGTCCAGCAACTCGCCATTGCTCCATGCTGGGGCTCGCTTGGCGCGTGGAGGCATGGTCACCTGGAAAGATTCGCTGATAGCACTCCAGGCCACGCCGGGCTGAGCAAACACGAAGGGGATTTTTAAAATTCCCGGGGAATGTAAAGGGTCGGTCACATGGTTGGTTACCTGAGGCCAGGGCAGTAGAGTTTGAACTGATGACCAGAGTGGCTAGAACAGGCATTGTGGGATATTGCCGAATAATTCTGGAGGCCATTCACAGCGCATTGGGCGGCCACATTGGCGCCGCAGAGCTGCAGCGGCAGCGCAATACTTGCTATTCCTCTCGGAGAGGTGGAGTACATGCAGCGCTGCAACCACGGAGATACAGCGCTGCAAATGCCTTGCCAATGTGGACGGGGAGTGAGTTAGAGCACTGGGGGAGCCTTTACAGCGCTGTAACTTGCAAGTGTAGCCAAGGCCTTAGTGACTGAGCTAGGAGTAACAGAGAGTCCTGTATCAGAGGAGTAGCCATGTTAGTCTGAATCTGTAAAAAGCAACAAAGGGTCCTGTGGCACCTTTAAGACTAACAGATGTATTAGAGCATCCGACGAAGTGGGCATTCACCCACGAAAGCTTATGCTCCAATACATCTGTTAGTCTTAAAGGTGCCACAGGACTCTCTGTTGCTTTTTACAGATCCAGACTAACACGGCTACCTCTCTGATACTTGAGCTTGGAGTCTGCTCTTTAAACCATGAGTATTCAAAAATAAGTATTGAACTGTCACTTCAGTTAGTTTGTACTATCGAACCTGCACACTGAATAAGGCAAGGCTTCTGCAGTAAAGTAGTATGTGAGCATGTAATTAGAGACACAAGGTGGGTGAGGTAATACCTTTTACTGGACAAACTTCTGTTTGGTGAAAGAGAGAAGCTTTTCAGCTACCCACAGCTCTTCTTCAAGTCTGGGAAAAGTACTCAGTGTCACAGCTAAACACTGGGTGGAACAGATTATTTAGCTTAAGTAGTTAACACATATTGTAAGAGACCATTCAAGGTTAACTACTTATGCTAAATAATCTGTTACACCTTGTATTTTTAGTTGTGACACTGAGTACTTTTCCCAGACCTGAAGAAGAGCTCTGGGTAGCTGGAAAGCTTCTCTTTCACCAAACAGATGTTCGCCCAATAAAAGATATTACCTCACCCATCTTGTGTCTCTAATATCCTGGGATCAACATGGCTATAACAACGCTGCAAACAACATATAATTAAAGACTGTTGTAATGCATGTGCATGTGGGGTGGAGTTGTGATTGGGTGGACATCTTTATCTTTTGTTCCTGACTCAACTTTGCAAAATTAAACATTCTTTTAGCTATACTTTACTGATTTAAGAGGGAAGTTGGGATTTTAAAGGTGTGCATTTGTTTTTATTAATTAAAATGGCAGGATTGTGATGTAGCAATCTGATTTGGCTAGTAAAGTTTTCATTCAGACTGAGACATCCATTGACTCTAATTTGAAAAGCTCACTTGCCTGAGAAGGATTAAAATTAAACAAACCACCCCGTTCCACTCCCTTTCTCCCCTCCCCCCCGTAGAATTGCATATTTCCTGATATGTAATAGAGATAGTGATGCTAAAAAGCGTGGCCTCATTATATGCCCAGTACAGCAGGCCTTCCTTACCACATGCCTGTAGTGTACTATATATATCTTCATATAACCTTTCAAATTATGAGTTCTCCACAGTATTCTGTGGAGGAGCGGTAGGTAGAATTTCCTTTCTTTTGTTTTCTGGTTAGTGGAAATTGCAGCCATCACAAGTTCAGACTGCTGCATTTGGGGCTTGATCCTGCAGCCATTAAAGTCAATGGCAAAACTCTCATTGACTTGTGTGGTGCAGTATCAGGGTTTCCAGGTGTTATACAAATATTTTTTCCTCTGAAAATTAAAGCTTTTTGGACAGGTGGCACCTAGCCCTCAGCCCCTGTGCTTCACAACTTGCTAGTGATGGATGCCCCCATAATCACATATTCTTTTGTCTGTTACGTAGGTATAGTGTTGACAAATTTATATCTTAAAATTACTTTAACCATAAAACTTCTAAAATTCTCTACTCTTCATTTTCATCTATGGAAAAGTCCCATTGTATTTAATTGGGACTAAGCCAATATGTTTCTGTATTACATGGAGTATGATTCTATACAAATTTATCTAAAAACATACTTAGGATCTCATTCTATGAAACTTTCTCAAAAGGTTTTTGAATCATCCAGTTGAATTCCATAATACATAATTTTCTGTTGAATATGATTGCCCATTCCAAAAACATTTACATTATGGTTTTGTTAGACTTTTTCAAAAGGGTTTTCAGTAATCTTAATTTGTAACTAGTGTTGAGAAGGGAGGGTTAATGGAATAATGAAGAAGCGAGAAAAGGAAATATTGCAGTGTCACCTTTGTTACAAATTCCCAGGTTTTCCTTCATTTACCAACATTTGCTATTTATATACTTTTGTTCTTACAAAATGTAATTAGGGATGGTATAAAAATGTCTGCTGTGTCAATTAAATATCAATTAGGAACACAAACTAAATTTAATGGAGAAAAAAGTTATTGTACATACACAGTAGCAAACTTTCAGAACTCACTCTTTCTGGCTATTTGTGTTGTGTTTTCCTTAAAATATCACAAAACAATAATCTACATTTATTACCTAATTTCACGCTGAATTTCATTTCTAAATGGAAGGTAAGTTGAAGTGATCAGAACTAGTGCATTTTTGTAGTATTCAAATAGCTTTTTTTAAAAATGGCCAAACTGATAGTGGCATTCTACGTTTTTTGTTTTGATTTGCTTTTTAAATTAAATTTGGTTTAAATATTTTTTAGATACTGAGATGTTCCATGCGAAGTTTTATTCTGAAACACATGTACTTGGCCAGGGTATAAACTTAAAACAAGGAAGGATTGACATGCTTTATTTATAGTGGCATTAAATTACGGTGATATACTGGAATTGCTGCAACATGGAGAAATTTCTCTTTGACCAAACGTTAGGAGAGAAAGGGAATTACCGTAATACTCAGCTGTATTATCTCATTTGGCCTGTTTTAGAAAATTTAGTAAAAAAGTGAGTTATTTGACTTCACTTCAAATACTTTCTTACCCTCATTGTTTTTCAGATGTTCTCTTTGTGGATATGTATGCAGCCACCCTCCTTCCCTGAAGTCCCATATGTGGAAACATGCAAGTGATCAAAATTATAATTATGAACAAGTGAACAAGGCTATTAATGATGCAATTTCACAAAGCGGCAGGTGTGTGTATGTATGACACTTCCTTACAAACTAGAATCCTTAATCTAGACTTTTGAAAGCACCCAACCTTGACCCAAGATAAACTACAATCTGCAAATTTAAACAACAAAAAAATATGATGACTTTTTAAAAAAAACTTTGTTTGTTTATTTTTTAGGTTTCAAGGGCAGCTACCTGGAAAGACTCTATTAGAAAGCACTGATGAAAGTTTAGTACCTGTTCTAGGGAGTTCAGAGAACTTGGTGTCATTTTCAGAGTCCATTAATCAGACTACTAATGAAATTTCAGGTTCCAATGAAAATCAAAAACTTAATCCAACAATTAATACCTCATGCAATTTAGAAAAGAACTCCAGTCAGCCCCACCTTGGTACAGAATACTGTGTTCTACTCTTCTGCTGTTGTATTTGTGGGTTTGAGTCCACCAGCAAAGAAAATCTGTTGGATCATATGAAAGAACATGAAGGTGAAATCATAAACATAATTCTAAATAAGGACCACAATCCAACTCAGAACTCCAACTAGATCAAACTATCAGCTAAAAAGAAGAGGATTTCCTAAAATGGGTTTTTTCTATCTTTGCTAATGTTGCCTGAGATACTTGCTCAAGAGAGGAAATGCAAGTAAAATGTACTGATTTCCCAAGCTGAGTCTTTGTTGCAATTACAGACATAATTTAATTAGCTAAAACCATTAAATACTCCATTTTGGGGAAACTGTGGAATGATCCATCTAACCCTTTATCCTTCCCTGTGATGCCAAGAGTCTGGATTTCTCAATGCCTAGTGTTAATCCAAAGTGCATTAGCACAATAAGAAATTCAAACTCAGCAGCTAAACAAGGTATTAGCTCAATTCAAAAGGCTTTTTTTTTTTTTTTTGCCTTGAAAGTATTTAGTTAAGGGTGTCAAACTCATTTCAGACAAATATTGTTTTTCCTTCAATGCAAAGGACAGTAGGCCAGATACGGGTTATGAATTAATGCTCACCTAAAATTTACTGTTTAATTCTGAGGGGTAGATGGTGAGGGGGGTGCTCCTGATTTATTTTTAAGGCCTTACTCTTCCCAGCTTAACAATTGTTTTCTGAATAAGCAGTACTGGATGGTATTCCTTCTGTCACTAATAGGAAGTGCTGATTCAAGGCAGGAGAAGCTGAGTGGCCTGAAGGCAGTAGGTATCTTGCCAATTATTTGGCTAGATCCTAAGTAAATACAAGATCTTATTTTAGACATGTTAAATTCATATGTAAACATGACCCATTGTTTAACGTCTCTCTTTAAAATATTCAGCCAAACCTCTAAAAGCAATGGGATCATGATATAAATTGGCATTTTAACTAGTGACTTTTTCATGTCAGTACATAATGAGTGCCATAATCTTGGGGTGGGAACAGGCAATCACCAGAAATCTAATTGACAAAGGGCCAGATTTTTCAAGGTATTTAGGCCCTAAAGATGTAGATAGGCACCTAGTGGGATTTTCAAAAGCGCTCGGTGCATAGCCACTTTTGAAAATTGCACTAGGTGCCTACCTACATCTTTAAGTGCCTAAATACCTAGAAAAGTCTGGCTCTAACACTGTCTGTTGAAATAATTACTCAAAAGGTATGCTAATCTTTTCTCATAAAATGCTTCAAATTTCACAATAAGAGAATTCAGCAAAAATAATTTCTAAGTAAAAATTGACCTGCTTTGTGGAAACAACCTTTTCTCCATTGCACCAAAATAGAAAGGAACAGGATCTATGATGGTTAGTAGAGTAAACATTACTGATGCATGTGATAAGGATTCACAAAGGGAACTTGATAATTGCGGTGTTTTATTTTTAAAGCAACCCTTAGAAATTTCTCCCTTTTTAAAACCATTTTGCTTCTAACATTATAATGCTGATCTTTCATGTAGTTTAAATGACCTACATCAGTTTATATATCGATGGGAATTTCAGTATGCAGGCTAATTCCCAGGGAATTCTGCCAAAATCACTTGTAAAGTTGGCCCCTAAAATTGTGTTTTAGTATATGCTTGCTACAAAAAAAAAGTGTAACATTTGAAAAGGAGCCCTTTAGCAGTCAGATTAAAACATTCTGATGAAGTTTGAAACATTCAATTCTGGTTTAAAGGTAGCTTCAAAACTGTAATTGCACTGAAGCATGCCCAGTTCTTGGCATCTCAGTTCAGTTATGCCTGGGTTAGTTGCTCATTTGTTAAAAATGGGTAGTACACTATAGTTTTAAAGAGTGATGCAGAACATTTTTTGTATTTATTACCTATTTATACATTTTTTAGCAGAAATAAGCTACAACTATATAAATCTGAAAAGCTGGTGTATGAGTAGTGTACAGTCTTCATGGTGCTATTTCTGTGTTAATTTTTTAAGTTCTCCTGCGGACAGTGAAGCTGGTCAAACAGGAAAGAAAAAGAGGATAGCTTTTTGTATACAACTTTAATTTTAAGAAGCAACCCAGGGTATAAAGGCTGTATAAAGGGCAGAGTTGTATTTCAAGCTGTACTGGTGATCTTTTAAAGTGGGTTTGTTTTTAAACATTTTGAACTTTTTCTATCTTTAAGTAGTCCTATTAATTTGGCTATAAATTAGGTTAGATGTACAAAAGTTATTTTAAAAATTGGTAAAGATCTATCATCATACAGCCCATTACACTAATAGGTTTGACCTATCCACGAACTAAACATAGTACATTTCACATGTTTTAAATAAAAATGTAAAGTAACTTCTGTATGTTTTACATTTTTTTTACTAAAAATAGAATATACAAGGGCCAACCAGATGGGAACTTTTCATATTCATACAGGCTAATTTGACACTTTAAAAACATGATTATAATGAACAATTTCAATCAGAGGTGGAAAATATTTAATTAGGGTACTGGTGTTGTCTTAGTGACCAGTGTTGACACCAATATTGTATCCTTCATATAGAATTCTGGTGTGTTTAAAAAACAGGAAATGATTGGGCACATTTTTAATATCTGAGATCATAGAGCACATTCTAACATTCCGGCTCCTGTATTTATAGATCCCATTTATTGCAGTCATTTGAAAATCTGGTAAATATAAAAATATCAGAGAGGCCACAGTAATTTGAATTTTAAATTCCTATTTTAAAAACTCATGGAAACTACAGTGTGCCTTGACCTTAACTTAATTTTCCCATAATGGATCATGCATTTTAAAGTTGTTACACTAATGGAAATATGTGAAGAACTTGGAGGCATGAGCTAGAAGAAAGATGGCAGGAAGCCCAGATTTACAAAGTCAAACTTTTTATTAGTCATGTTTTTTCTGGGTGCAGTGTTACAATATAATGCACCAAGACCCATTGTAATATATTGGAACTACTAACCAAAGTATAGGTATTTACAGCGTGTTCTTTACCATCTCATTAATTGTGCGAGTAATCTTTGGTTAACCATATGTTGTTCTAAAGCAGTAGAAGGGGGTGGGAGGGCCTTCTAAAAACTGACTAGGATAAATACTACAACTGCCAAGAAATAATTACTTGCTAGCCTGCAGAAAATAAACAATCTTCATAAGAAAATTCCTTATTGATTGTCCCCGTGCTGCCATCGATTCACATTCAAAATTCCCCCTTGACTTTAACAGAAGCGATGAATGTGGAATGATTACAGAATCAGTTCCTGAAAGCAAGTATTCTGATCACGATACCTGCTTTGTAAAGTGTTGTGTGATTAGTTTGTTTGCATGTTTTGGGTTTGTTTTAACAGCACTTTTTAGGGTTACACCATTTCAATCTTCCCATTCCTTTGAGAATTTACAAATATTTTGGGATGCTACTGGCACATAGAACTATCAAATTATTAGTTTTTCTTTCAACTCTGCTCTAAGCAGATTTTATTCAGTGATATGGACTATAACTTAAAGCCTTTGTTCTAGATACCTACAATTCTGTTATGGAGGAAATTCCCATTTTCTACTCATGAAATAGCTGGGGATCTATAATCTTCCATTGTAGCTTTCTACTTTGTACTTGGCCTAGAAAGAGAGAGTGGGATTCAGCCAGAGTTACTGTATTCTCCTGTCCCAAGCACTTATTTAATCATTAAAATAAAAATTAAAAAAATGTACAGTGGGTGCTCAAAGTATTGATGAATAGAATATATTTAATAGAAATTTACATTTGCGTTTGATATTCATGGACATGAGTACATGTATTTTTTTAAGAAAAGGTATTGTAACACTATGGCACTGCTTTTTATAGCCAAAGTATAAAAAAATTTAGAAGACTGACGTAAAGACTGCAGTTACTTTTGACACTGTATCTTATTAAAATAGGATGAATTGCATTTTATAAAACTATCCAGCACATTAAGCTGCATGCCTTAAACTCTCTGTAGGATTGTGTTCCTGATAGAACAGATTGTCTATTTGGAACTATGAAGCAAGTCTGTAGTACTACTTTAACTACCTTCTGAAATACTGTACGTTAGAATAATTTATTTTGCTTTACAGGAGTTTGTCATGTATTGACTTTAATATTGTATTTTGGTAATAAACTTTTTTGTTAAACACTTCTTAGTGTTCTGCTTTTATTTGTACAGAATGAGACAAATATTTAACATGGGGAAGTAAATACTGAGCCAATACTTGGTAAGGTGGAAGAAAACTACACCTTTTGAAATGGGTGTGCAAATCCAATCTGAGCACCCAGGCAGAGATCATGCTTTATATAAGCAGAATGCCTTTCTTCTGTACGGGCACACAAAGCCATAATCTAAACATTAACACATTAAAAACAAAAATATGACTCTCCATTCTAAAATGCAGGATTTAACAATCCAGGGGGGAAAATTCACAGAAATTATATGAATATCAAATTATGTGGAAAACATTTATTAAACTTGAACTAAAGTTTAACTTCCATTTTTTATACACAGTGCACTAATAAAACATAGCAGAACTAGGTCTGCATATAGGGATGAAGGAAAACTTTAATAAAATGGAGGCATTACTAATAATGAGACTTAATATCAGATAATCTAACTGGAACACAATAAGCTACTGTATACTTGATCCTTAGAATATGAACAAATGTTGCACCTTCTATACTGAAGGGTATGTGAGTATAAAACAACTTCACAGTATGCAGTACAGAAAAGAGACTTGCAGGTAATTCCAGTTTAAGCTGGTCTTTGTGCAGAGCTGTTGATTAAAATGGTAGAGCTGAAAGATCAAAATTACTTGTTTTCACAATTTCTTCCAAAATGATGTAATGAACAACAAATAAAGGCAGTCAGAAAATTGCTTCCTTAATACTAGCCTAGGTTTTGATTTGTTGTAATCAAAATTAACTTAAAGAATTGAATTGTCCAAAATGTAATTTTCAGAAACAAATCTAAGATATTAATCTTTAGTTTTACTATGTATTTAGGTGCCCTAGAATATTAGATCTCTATTCCGAAGGTAATGTTGGCTAACTGATTTCAAAACTTTACAGTAAGTTATTTCAGCAAATGTACATAGAGTAATAATTCTCAGATGTAATTCTCCAGTGGGCACATAGCCTGCACAGCAGCCACTAGTGGGGAGGGACAGCGAAGGAGAGTAGTTTAGCATGATGTTTTCTAGTTACGTATATAGTCCCTGGGAATCAGCTGGCGCAAGGCAGAACAGCTCCAGGTTGCTCTATTTTGTGCCAGGTCTGAGACAGAGAATCCAGGAGCCGTTATTTGTTCCTTGACAGTCCCCAGCTCTGTTGATGAAACAATATCTGTTTTGGTTAAAAGTTAAGGTGCTTTTTTTTTCTTAGACTGTGAGACAATCAGTATGCATTTACATTTTCCTCACTGCTTAACCTACAATTTGCTATCTGAATACCCAAAACATATGTGCTAATATTCCAAGGTGATGGCTATAACTGATTGTTTTAGTTAATCTGAAAGGCTTTAATATGACTTTAGTACATGTCCTTAGATGCATGGATGATTTTGTAAGGGTATTATGTTTTGCCATTATACAATTTTAAATTGTTCACAGTTGGGACACTATTGTGTTTTGCACTGCATTAATGGATCAGAAGTGTTAGTGGAAATTGTGCTGCTAGAGATCATCCAATATTCTCCCAGAGATGGGAGATCTTGATGTTTTTACAAATAGCTGCCTTTAAGTTACTGGTAAAGATCAGCAAACTACTGATCATAAAAATGTAGGGCTGGAAGGTACTGCTAGAGGTCATGCAGTCCATTCTCTCCCCCCCTGTTCCCAACCCTCACACATTGAGGCAGGAACAAGTATACCTATACCATCCTTGATAGATAGATGTTAGTCTAACCTGTTCTTAAAAACTCCAATAATGGGGATTCCACAACCTATTCCAATACTTTAACTATCCTTATAGTTATCTTAGATATTAGGAAAAACTTTGTCTCCTTTGTAGCAAATTCCTGTCCTGCCTTCAGGGGACATGGAGAACAATTGATCACCATCTTCTTTATAACAGCCCTTTATAA